ATTATTATTATTATTATTATTATTATTATTATTATTATTTTTTCTATCGTTCTCTGAATCAGTGTTCTTTATAGTTAAAAACAAACAAACAAACAAAATGCATTTCTTTTAGACTGAAAACTGCAAACAATATCAACTCAACTTAACAGCTCAAGAAGCCTCTCTCAGTCTCCAATGTTCTCAAGGGAGACATGGAAATGTATATGTATGCATCTTTTCCGCATTTCTCTCTTTTTTTTTGTTGTTTAATATTCCTCTCTTTTTTTTTTTTTCTTTTTGTATTTCACTGTCATATTGTATAAACACCCTAGTCTCTTTTATCAGTTTCTCTTCTTTACATTTATATATATATTTGTTTATTTATTTATTTATGGATATTCTTTATCTCTTGTGAATATTATTAATTTTCTTTCTTTTTTTGTTCTTCTTCTCTTTACTTATTGCTGAGCTTCAAAAGAGTACAGAGACTCATTGACCTCAAAGGGAGTTTCCTCTTCACATATAATCATATATATATATATATATATATATATAAAGAAAGAAAGAAAAAGAAAACACAAAATAATAATTTTATTATTATTATTATTATTATTATTATTATTATTATTATTATTATTAACGAATGCCATAATGTATAGACCGTGTACTCTTCTGTTTATACGAATGCTCGACAATGCGAGTAAAGGCGATCTGCTGCGGCAGGCCAAACACACAGAACGTAAACGAGTGGCTCGAGTGCGCAGCCGCCAATCTACACAAGGCACGAATGACTATCATAAGGCCCAATACATCAATGCGTATGTAGAGGCGCAGAGTGCACAACTCTCACGGGCCATGCGGCGCCGGGAAGAGGCGGTGGAGGAACAATCATTATTAGCCATTATAGAAACCCATCGCCCATCTATTCCTTTATTATTATCATCATCATCATCATTATCATCACAACAAGAAGAAGAAGAAGGCTCACAGGTATTAGAAAAAGGAAATAAAGAAAAAAAAAAGAAGAAGGAGATAGAATTATGGAAAGAAAAAAATGGATCTTTACAATCTGTAGGGTTTGGTGCCTGGCGTGAGGGATCGCCGGCGGTGGAGCGGGTGTGTTTGTGGATGGATCGTAATCTTCATCGCATTGTGCGTGGGTCCACCACTCCTGCTGTCTTTTCACCGGAGTCTCTACAACGATCCGTCCCTCTGCGATTAACGAGTGTGAGAGAATTGTTGTCTACATTAGATGAGATGAGAAATAGAAAAGGATGGAGAGATGTTGGGAAGTTTGCAGCGGAGATGTTTACTAGTATGCGAGTGGTGTGTGGGGGGGATGTGAAGAGAGAAGAGAAAATGATGGCAATAGTACTGCAGCGAGCTGTGGCGAGGGATTGGAGATGGGCACTGCAGCTTTACAGTAAATATATACTACCCTATCTACAAGAACAACAACGAATACAGATAAATAATAATAAGAGTAATAATAATAATAATAATAATAATAATAATAATAATAATAATAATAAT